ACCATAAACCATCGAAAATGGTGTTTCTCCAGTGCCTGTTTTGGTCGTTGTACGATAAGCCCAGAGTACTCCGGGTTTTACCTCAGGCCAATTACCTTTTGAATCGTGTAACCTCTTTTTCAAGTTATTGATAATAACTTTGTTAGTTGATTCCGCTTGTCCATTCCCCACTGGATGATATGGCGTAGATGTTATTCTTTTGATCTGCTAACTTCGAAGAAATTTTGTAACTTGTGCTCCAATGAATTGTGGTCCATTGTCACACACGATCTCCTTTGGTACTCCAAAGCGGCATATTATATTTCGCCATATGAAGTCTTTAACTTCTTTTTCTCGTACCTGTTTAAATGCCCCTGCTTCTACCCATTTAGTGAAATAATCTGTAAGTACAAGTAGAAATTTTACCTGACCTTTTGCTTGTGGAAGTGGACCTACGATATCCATTCCCCATTTCATAAAGGGCCAAGGGGCTAAAACAGGATGTAGTAACTCAGCTGGTCTGTGCATATTATTGCCGTACCTTTGACATTTATCACATTTGGACACGAAACTGGTTGCCTCTTCTTCCATCTTAGGCCAATAATATCCTGTGCGAATTAACGTTCTTACCAGTGACCGTCCTCCTGCGTGATTCCCACAATGTCCTTCATGTACTTCTCTCATGACATATTCGGTTTGAGAAGGGCCGAGACACCTTGCTAGTGGTCCGCCGAACATCTTTCGATAAAGATTACCTTGATATAAACAATATCGTGCAGCTTTTTTGCGAAGCGCGTAAGCCTTTCCTTTGTCATTAGGCACGGTTCCGTGCTGTAAGAAGGCAACAATTTCATTTGTCCAATCCCATGTTAGATGATTAAAATTTACCTCGTTTTTATTAGGTTCAAGAACAGAATGAAATAGATGTATGACTGAAGCATCTGTATTGTTTGCCACGTCTGCTGCGGATGCAAGGTTAGCTAAAGCATCTGCCTCTACATTCTCATCCCTTGGGATCTGCACTACTTCGAAGGACCCCTTTATAGCTTTCCCCATGGGAATACCAAAGAAATTTCACTCATGAGAAGCCAAACTATGGATAAACCTATGATGGATATTTCTCATTACATTTTCCCAAGAATTCAGCCTCATGTTTACTCTTGGACAAGGATGTATGGTAAGTAAACTAGGTTAAATTTGATGCACACGTGTGAATATTTGTTACGCTAGCATTGTAGTTTAACCTATGATAGTAGATTTAGTTACCACTCTTTTATCACGTTACTAGTAATAACCTTGTAAGTAATCTGATTGTGTAAATATTTTAACACTGTTAGTGCATAGAACTTAAACTCATCACTGAATTGTTCATTGTGTTTGCTTTGTCCGGTGACTGGGAGGAATTTCCTCACTTGGCATGGCTCAAAACCATACTTATTTGTCACTGAACCAGAACTTATCAAAGAAATATTGGCCAATAAAGAAGACACTTACCCGAAAATGGACATGGAAGGCTATGCAAAAAAACTACTAGGGGAAGCACTAATAACCAATGAAGGTGAAAAATGGGCAAAAGTAAGAAAACTAGCCAACCACACTTTCCACGCCGAAAGCCTGAAAGTAAGCCTTATAGCTTTACAGTATCAGTATTTCGTCTTTAAAACGTTAAAGTACTGATGTTGGTATGAATGGATGAAATTATGTACAGCATATGGTGCCAGAAATGAGTGCGAGTGTTCAAACAATGCTAGAGAAATGGAAAAAACACGAAGGAAAAGAGTTCGACGTGTTCAAGGATTTTGGACTGTTAACAACTGAAGTAATTTCCAGGACAGCGTTTGGAAGCAGCTATATGGAAGGCAAACATATTTTCGAGATGGTGGCAAAATTAACTGCAATAACTGTCAAAAATATTTACAATGTCAGATTTCCTGGAATCAGGTAATCAACATTATAGGAAACAAGAGATTTCCTCAGGACGTTACGTCTCATTCATAATTATTGGTTTCTTGAATTTTGCAGTATGCTAATAAGAACAAATGATGAAATTGAAGCAGAGAAACTTGAAAGAGGAATCAAGAGCTCCATCCTTGAGCTAGTAAGGAAAAGAGAAAAGGTTAAAGATCGAACGTTTGAGAATTTTGGGACTGATTACCTAGGACAACTTATGAAGCTTTTGCACGAATCGGACATGAACAAAAGTATCACAATAGATCAAATGATCGACGAGGTCAAGGCATTGTTTGGTGCTGGACATCTTACAACAACAAGCTTACTTGGTTGGTCTGTTTTTCTCTTAGCACATCATCCAGAATGGCAAGAAAAAGCCAGAAAAGAAGTGTTAGAATTTTGTGGCCTTAAAAATCCAACTTCTGATGCAATCACAAGACTAAGAACAGTAAGAAACACTCTTAGTATTAAATTGTGCGATCATCTCATCTAAAAGTTTAACCTGTTAGAGAGAGTACACTTTATTTACTTAATTATATCTTCATCCAGGGGCGGAGCCAGCCCATTCGACTACAGGTTCAGCTTGACCCAGTAGCTTTAATCCAAACTTTATATTTGTCTTAAGAAATTCATTGAATATGCGCAAATTATTAAGATACAACCTAATAACTTAAAATAACCATAATCCTGAACCCATAAGATTTAAATCCTGTCTCCGTCTTTGTCTTCATCACGCCCCCACATGCTGACCTGATATTTTTACATAGGCCAAGTACGTTATTAATTGATATCAGTGCGTCTTTCATCTTTTCTTTAGCTAAGGCTCTATCGGAAACAACCTCTCTGCTCGTCTAGGGTAGGGGTAAGGTTGCGTACATCTCTTCTCCCAGACCTCACTTGTGAGAATACACTGGGTCGTTATTGTTGTTGTCGCCAAGCACATGAAAAATTCTTTTTGATAATGGGAGGCAATGACTGTTCTAATACTGAATTGAATTGCCTGACCGATGACTGCTTTGATACTGAATTGAATTGTGAAACTATCTCATCTTGAGTTTTAGCGTTTAAAGAGATCACACTTTTATTTACTTAATTATTATGATCAATAGTTTCCTTTTTTGTTTCCTGCAGATGAACATGATACTTAATGAATGTATGAGATTGTATCCTCCAGTTATTACAATGACAAGGAAAGTTAAAAGAGAAGTTAGACTAGGGAGCATGACTCTTCCTGCTAACATGACAATTTTCATGCCAATTTTGGCACTGCACCACGATCCACAAATTTGGGGTAAAGATGTTCATATTTTCAAACCCGAGAGGTTCGCAGAAGGGGTGGCTAAAGCAACAAACAACAACGCAGCAGCATTTTTCCCCTTTGGATTGGGACCTCGTACTTGTGTTGGTCTGAATTTTACAACAAATGAAGCAAAGATTGCCTTATCAATGATTTTGCAGCGTTATAAGTTCACTCTGTCACCTAATTATGTTCATAATCCTTGTGATATTTTCATTTTGACTCCCAAGGATGGAGTTAAAGTTGTCCTTGAATCTATTTAGGGCATAGCAATGTCCCCAAATAATGTACATAAATAAAAGTTTTGCAAACAAAGCTTCTGAATTCACGAGTTCCTTGTATTTTCGACGCAAATCATAAATTTAAGTATAAAATTCACAAAAATTATAATAAATAGCAGGTCTGAATCCATAATTTTAAAAATGCAATGAGTTTAATGCTAAGAACTAGGGGTATACATATACCGGGTTGGTTCGGATTTTCTAATTACCAAACCAAACCAATTGTATCGGGTTATTAAATCTAAAGACCAAACCAAACAAATAAAAGTCGGGTTTTTAAATCTCAGGTTTTCATGTGTTTTTCGGGTTTTCGGGTTCTTTTCCCATAAAGTCTTCATAACACAAAATATAAAATTTGTGCTCCAAATATTTCTTTAATCCTAGTAAGATAGAACCATTTAAGGTGTTTTTCAATAAAATAATAAAAATATGAGATAGAGTCATGTCATTGTACTAAAATATTCAACAATAAAGATAATAAAAATCGCATAAAATAAGCATTATTAATAAGCCATAATAAAAACAAACATAATTTAAAATTACTAATAATTAAGTTGCTAAAATAAGTAAGACTAATAAGTATTATCATTTACATGACTAAACACTAAAAGAAAAATAAGTTATGCATTTTATCTAAATCACGAAAAAATTATAAAAATAAATATCCAACATTATTTTCATTCATAGTACAATTGAATTGAATGTCTTTTATTAGCATTACTATTGATTTGATATTAGTTTAGGATTTATTTGAGTTACTAACATTTATGAACTATAAAACTTATTGGAGCATCCAAAAATTATAAGCTCAAGCTTGAAATAATATAAAACTATGCAAAAGCTTAAAAAATATTTATAAACTACATTACAATAAATATTTTTATGTATTAAAATATTTAAAACTTTTATACATATAATGTCAGGCTGGTTTGGTTTCGGTTTGACTTTTTTTTATTTAAAACCAAACTAAACTAAATATGGTCGGGTTTTTTTTTTCCAACACCAAACAAAATCAAGCCAAACCATAGTCGAGTTTTTTTTTTTCTCGGTTTGACTCGGATTATCGGGTTGGTGCGGTTTGTCGATTTCATTTGTACACCCCTACTAAAAACCTTAAAAGTTGAGCCAATAGAATTTAAATCCTGGATTCGCCTCTGTATAAGTGACTGCTTTTAAAAGTCAAGATATCACTACATTCAGACACAACTATATAAAGGCAAGGCTGCTTACATTAAAGAGAAGCTAATGATTTGAATGTCATTAGGAGAAGGACAGCATGTTACTTGCATAAATACCAATATCAACAAATTGTGTACCATTATTGATTTCATATTACCATAGGTAGGACCACAATGTACTTGAATAAGCACCCAATATTACCAGGTATAGTACCATTCTTGGATTCATATTATCATAGATTTTCTTATAACCTTTGTAATAAAAGACAGATAAAGATAAAGAATATTAAATCAAAGTGATCTTATAATTATGTAATCCTCACATACCATCAGCAAATTTTAAGACATGAAAATTAGACGAAGTAATATTATAAGAGAAAAAGAGTAACACATTAGTGATAGTCTAACATGCTGGTTGCACAGTATTACTAAAGGAGTTATCAAAAAAAGTGACCAGCTGCTTGGTCATATGCCAAAATGGGGTGGCTGTAGCACAAGTCCGTCGTATTGGTGGATTTGACTAAACTTGGGAAGGCAGTGCCTTGTTGATCAGCTAGTAGTTGTGGTAACAAAAAATCTGGTGGTTGAGTGAAGATTGTTGTGCAATCCTGAGCATGGTTAGACGAACCGTGTTGAGCTAGATAATGTGCAGCTTAGTTTTGCTCCCTGTATGTGTGGGTAATGGTAGGATTATCCAGTTGCGTACCTGCATTCCATTAAAGAGGATGAATAGTAAAGATTATCATTATTGAGCATTATTATTACCTCAGTAGAGTCCACATGCTGTCTTCCTCACACAGTCATCAACAATTTTTTTGGATCATTTTCTAATGAAAAAAAAGGTACACACAATAAATTAATTAATCATGTGGTCCAAGCTATGGTGTCCTGATTATGAACTTCCACTTCACAATATATTCCAAATCTTGATTGTAATAAGAGTTAATCCTTCAATCTTTTCCCCTTTTGTTTGTTTGTTTATTATTACAATAGGAATGAAGTTTAGCTTATAATTTTTCACGATGCGTTTAAGTCTCATTTTTAGCTTTAACACCAAGGTGACTGATGTATATCTCAATTACAAAGCCCTAGCTCGTAAAAAAAAAAAAGACAGCCTGATGCATAAAGCATTTCGCATTCATGTAGGATTCGGAAAATGGTTGCACCCCAAGGGAGTGTAGTGTAGGCAACCTACCCTGATGCAAGTCGCTTGTAATTACATGAAATCTCCAAAGTGTTGGCCTTCGACTTTCAGGCTTGATTGAGAGGACATGCTCATGATTTTTTTATTTTGCATCAAACATATACTTCATATGGCCTATGGAATCATCTAAAACACATACTTCGGTAAAAGCGACTGAACAATAAGCAGTCAATTACTATAATATAAAATAATATTGAAAATCTATTTAAGGTTTAATAATCTTGTGCATGTACTGAGAAAAAGAGAGATCATTATATCTATTTGTCTTGACTCTTGAAACTTCTCACTTTCAACCTCTTTTTTATATATGGAATTATTGTACTGCATTTTGGCATGAAATAATCCATTCTAATCATTGTTGACACCTAAAATTTCATGGACCACACCATCTATTCATATCAAACCTTTGCCAAGAGCAAAAAACAAGAATAGTGATCTTAGATATTACAATAGCTAATGTACAATTAATTCAGGGATTTAATATGCAAATTTGAAATGCTATTGATGAAGCCAAAGCCAGTATCTGAATTTTATTTGTCTGCTAACTCAAGCTAATATTCTCAACCTTAGTCGAATACACTAGAAAACCAAAATCACTCAAGTCCATTATTCGATATCTGGATTCAGAAAAATCGCGAACATCATTCATCATATAATGATAATCATTATCGCGAGTTTTCTTTTCATTTCTTTGTTAATTCTCCTTTTTTGGATCTTGAAGAAGCTATGGAGTCCGATTCGCGTACAATTTCTGATGAGATCACAAGGAATCCAAGGTCCAACATACAAGTTCTTACATGGAAACACTAAAGAGATTGTGGAAATGAGAAAAGACTCAATAACAAAATCCATGAATCACTTGTCACATGACATATTTCCAAGAATTCTACCTCATGTATTTTCTTGGAAAAACGTCTATGGTAATATAAATGTCAAATAATTTCATTTGAAAATATCTTTTTAATGTGTTATCTTAGAAGGGGAGCCTTGGCGTAACTAGTAAAGTTGTTTCCATGTGACCAGGAGGTCACGGGCTTGAGCCGTGGAAACAGTCTCTTGTAGAAATGCAGGGTAGGGCTGCGTAAAATAGACCCTTGTGGTCCGGCCCTTCCCCGAATCCATACGCATAGTGGGAGCTTAGTGTACCGGATTACCTTTTTTTTTAAATGTGTTGTTTTATATGGTTATATAAACTACTGATTATATTTCTCTGTTTCTATTGTCACATAATAGGGGCAAATTTTCTCTATTGCTATGGACTGCAACCTGAACTAGTAGTGACTGAACCACAACTTCTCAAAGAAATACTGAGTAATAGAAACAACAACTTTCCTAAAATAGATCTTGAAGGCTTTTCCAAGAAGCTTTTAGGAGATGGTGTTTCGTCGTCTAAAGGCGAAAAATGGACAAAAATGAGGATACTAGCCAACCATGTTTTCCATGGAGAAAGCCTAAAAGTAAAATTCTTGTGCATTTTTTGAAATATATTATATGCCAAGTTCTCTGTTTCCAATAGTGTTAATTTTGTTAATAATTTTTGTGAATGCAGAGTATGGTTCCAATGATGATTATGAGTTGTGAGACAATGCTGGAAAAGTGGAAAATGCATGAAGAAAAGGAAATTGAAGTGTTTGAAGAGTTTAGGATATTAACATCAGAAATAATTTCCAGGACTGCATTTGGAAGTAGTTACTTAGAAGGAAAGAATATATTTCAGATGCTGATGAAGTTAGCTTTGCTAGTTTCCAGAAATGCTCACAAAATTAGATTTCCTGGCATCAAGGTAAGTCCATCCACAAGATGCAACATAGACTTAACTCTGTATCTACAACAACAACAACAACAACGACCCAGTATAATCCCACAAGTGGGGTCTGGGGAGGGTAATATGTACGCAGACCTTACCTCTACCCCGAAGGGTAGAGAGGCTGTTTCCAGGAGACCCTCGGCTCAAAAAAGCAATAGGAGATGATATATTAGTACCATAAAAATGCGTAATAAAATAACAACAATATATAAGAGATATGAAATATGAAATATGAAATATGAAATACAGAATACGAAATACGAAATATGAAATAGATGGCTGGTATATTACAACTAGAAGGTAAAGCCCTGCATCAATAGACGACCAATGACATTCCTAGTCTAACTCCTAACTGGATAGTCTCACTCTATTGTGTTGTAGAAATATTCACACTCTCCCCTAACCTACAACCTTAATGCTCGACCTCCATAATTCCCTGTCAAGGGCCATGTCCTCAGTAATCCTAAGTCGCGCCATGTCCTGTCTGATCACCTCTCCCCAATACTTCTTAGGTCTTCCTCTACCTCTCCGCGTGCCCACTACAACCAGTCGCTCACACCTCCTCACCGGTGCATCAGTGCTCCTCCTCTGAATGTGCCCGAACCATCTGAGTCTTACTTCCCGCATCTTGTCCTCCATGGGGGCCACACCCACCTTCTCTCGAATATCTTCATTCCTAATCTTATCCATCCTTGTATGCCCGCACATCCACCTCAACATCCTCATCTCTGCTACTTTCATCTTCTGGATGTGTGAGTTCTTTACCGGCCAACATTCAGTCCCATACAACATG